TACTTGATGAGGAAACTAAATGAGTTTGGGTCCTTGGCCGGTTTTAAAATTAATAAGCAGAAAACATCTATGTTGATTAAGAATATGACTGCACAGGATGGTGATATATTGACTAAAAAGTCGGGTTTTAGAGTTGAGAAAAAGGTGAAATATTTGGGGGTTATGTTATCAAATTCAAATACAAGCTTGTTTAAAAATAACTATGTGACACTCTGGAATGGTATCAAAAAAGATTTATTAAGGTGGGACAAATTGCATTTATCATTATTGGGTAGAATTTCTGTGATTAAGGTGAATGTTTTATCAAAAAGGCTTTTCCTGTTTCAAACATTAGCAATACGTGCAACTGAAACTCCATTTAAACAATGACAGAGGGATATCTCTAAATTTATATGGCAGGGGGGAAAACCGAGAATTAGATATAAATTATTGCAAGATGCTAAGGAAAGAAAGGGTTTGGGTTTACCTGATTTGAAACTGTATTTTAATGCTTGTTGTTTGGTTTGGCTAAAAGAATGGGTGAACCTTCAGAATAAGAGGTTACTGGACCTAGAAGGCCAGGAATTAAGGTTTGGTTGGCATGGCTATTTGTAGTATGATAAAGTTAAAGTTGATGTTGATTTTAATAATTTTTTTACCAGGTGTGCCATTTTGAGAGTTTGGAATAAATATAAAATAAATATAAAACAAGGTTCTCTACAAAGGTGCCACTTTGGGTTTCCCCACAAGAAGTCTTTTTTTAGAAAAGAGATGGCGATGAGGCCAATTTGGTATTAAGTAAAATAATATATTTCAATCTGGGTGACCCTACCCTGAAATCTAAGGAGCAGCTAGAATCAGAAGCTCATGTCTGCCATTGGTTTACATATATGCAATTGAAAGAAAGATTGAAGTTAGATAAAAAGAATCATGGGTTTAATTTTGCTAAAAATGAATTGGAAAGCCTACTGTGAGGTGGTGATGAACATATTATTGCTAAAGTTTACAAAATGTTATTGAATTTAAATCTGGAAAATGAACAAGTAAAACACTGTATGAATCAGTGGGCAAGGAATTTTGGGTATAATGCTTGAACAATGGGAAAATATGCAGAATAAAGGATTAAAATTTACATTAAATTATAATCTAAGAGAAAATTTTTACAAGATAATGTACTGTTGGTACTTAACACCAGACACGTTATCAAAAATGTATAAAGGTATTTCAAATGAATGTTGGAAATGTAAAGGTAAAGAGGGGATTTTTTACCACTTATGGTGGACGTGTGATAAAGCAAGAAAATATTGGAGTAGGATTCATATGTTAATACAGAAAATTCTTAAACTAAATATAGAAAGAAACCCAGAGACTTTTCTTTTGGGGCTAATGGACAAAGACCTGGGAAAAAATATGGAACTTTGATGTTATATATGTTGACAGCAGCAAGCTTACTCTACGCTCTGAAATGGAAGACTACATTGATTCCTACAATGGAGGAATGGTTACAAAAACTGATGGAGCAAGCAGAGATGGCTAAACTTACTTACCGATTAAAGAAAAAAAATACGAATACTTTTATTGCCACGTGGAAACCGCTTCTAGATTTTGTACTTGAGGTGGAAAAAAATGAAATTTTGATTTTGGGCTTTATCAATTAGTTAGATTTGATATTACTGAACTGGCTAGTTTATAATATTTTGTAAAAGTAAAAAGTTGAGGTTTGAAGTTGATACCCTATTGCACCAAAGAAAATCGGAAGTCGATGCCTTTTTTTCTTTTTTTTTCTCCCTTACCTCACTTTTCTACTCCCCTTTCCCTTCCGCATCTTTTCTGCTATTTCCTTTTGTATTTCCATTGTATTGTATATTATAAACTAATAAAACTTTCTAAAAAACTATTGTACAGTTGTAAACACTTTTAGGGTTGCCAGGTCTGCTTCCAAAAAATAGCGGACAAGCGGGGGGGGGGGGGGTTTAAGTAGTAAAAAAAGTAGACTGTACAGCTTTAGATTACGTACCATTTCATCATAAAGCTTTTGAATAAAAAAAATGTCCACTATTTTGTGAAAAAAAATAGTGAACATAATGTGAAAAAGTGGACTGTCCACTCAAATAGTGGACACCTGGCAACCCTAAACACTTTTCATTGACACGAATTAAAAAGAAAGCAAATACTAGGTAGTTAATATGTGTCAATTTTATTATCCAGAGGCACTTATATAGAAAAATCGTACATATGCCTTTCCTTCTAACTGACTTTACAAGCTATAAAATAACAAATTACTGCAATTATTTCCCACTGAAACGAGAGTCTCTTGCGATCAACTACAGTACAAAATACTACCAGGCTAAACATGGTATAAAGAATGGCGATGCTTCATTCTTGTTGACTCTTACATCATACCAACATTTCCAGTTTAATAAATTGTTAACAGTATTAATCAAAACATATGACCATGACAAGACCATCATGGCTGATCTGTGGAACATTTTTCATAACATTTAACCATTATAGATGAAAAGCATAATCTTAACAATTTTTCTCCCCTTGAGCCCAGCTCCGGTTACTTTTACCTTCATACTAGTTTTTCTCATGGGGCAGGTTGATTCTTGATGCTCTCTGAATAAAAGTTATGAAACTTGAGTTTAATGAAGGTTATCTAAAATCACCATTTCCTGTAAGGGTCTCATGTAGCACTGAAGAAAACCAACCTGCTCTATCACTGATTAATAGTTACTGAAGTTAATCAGCTCTGAGAGATAACATTTAAAAAAAAACTGTGCCCGGTGGGTAAAATTCAATGGAGAGTTTCCATAAGTAGGAATGCTTTTTCTTCACAGAATGTGGAGTTCTTCCCAACTATCTCCCTCAAAATCTTCTAGATTCAGAGAAGATTTTAGGGTTGTCGGGGCTGAAGGGAGATTGAAGAGTAAACAACTAACTCTACTCCACAAGAAATGCAATGTCTGACTCTATGAAAAATGCTGCTATTAGGCAATCCTGGATTTTCGTCCAAAAAATGCTATATGCTTTCCAGTTAGTAAGAAAAACACACATGCCATATTTTTTTTGGCTATTTCTCGCTTTTAGCCCAGATTTCCCGTAAAAGGATATATATGTATTTTAACAATAGCAGTTTTTCTTAGGAATTTCTTGAGAAAGCTGGTTTCAGTAGCCGCACAAAGAAAAAAAAAAAAGATCATATATGGAAAAAGTTTTCGCCAGAAGCGTGGAAACCAAATTCAGATCAGAGATTTATTTATTCCTGAAGTCAGATTTCTGTCCAATCTGAAACAACCATTCCAGGCAATTTATTTATGATAAATTGATATCATAATCACGCTGCTTGGAATGCTTGTTTCAGATTATGATACGTTCTGATGCATTGTCTGCAAACTCCTATCAACTAATACTACCAATATCAGCTTTTAGGGAGAAAAAATTTGAAGCAATTATAAAAAGGCAATGTTAGCTATTTAACATTTAAATTAAAACCAGTTAATTAACATTTAAACTGAACATAGTTATTTAACATTTATTTTTGCATTTCTCAGATAATTTCTCCTAACCCAACTCTCCACCCATTTACCCAGCACACATGAAAACGATGGCATTTAGAAACACTGACTTTTTGGAACAATATCAAATCTGATGACCTATTTGGAAGTTTGACACATTCCAGATTTCCTGTGAAAGAGGGATAATTAATAATTGACTAATCATTAAGAACAAATGCTGATTTTAAGCAAAGGGGGGAAAAACACCAACCACATTTATTTTGCATGTAGTGCTTGCCGTCATGTTAAGTGCGTATGGATATAATCATGTCATATAGCAGTTTTTAAAGAATTCTTGTAAGAATGGTAATCAGTTACATAGCCAGACTAATCAATTCACATCTTCCGGTCCCATCTATGTCAATAAATCTGGACAATAATTTATAATCACCATATGCAAGTATTACCACATAACCTGTTTCAAAAGTGCTTATTTATATTTAAGCAGTTGTATTATTTTTTATAAAAGTAATTGACAGAAAACCAAACAATTTTTCAAGTAATAACTATAAAATAGTTCTAAAAGATTCTGAACTTCTTGGTGACTCTGAACTGCTGTGTCTCTGGCATTACATACTTTACATTTTTGTAAAAACAAAAAACAAAACAAAAAACCTCCCACATATCATAGACCTACATGCCAGGTACAAAAATGTGCAGTAAGCAAATATCTTGTCTGAAAAATCCAAATCCAAATCCTTGTGGCAGATATGTATGGCATTTCATTTAGAATTTGCACATTACATTCTACAAATTACAAAGGGATCAGACCTCTCGTAAGTGAGAATGTCCATGATCTTTATTCCATAACAAGGATTTGGGAATTATTTTATTTCCTTCTTCTTTAATTTTTTCCCCATTCTCATTTCTTTTATTTGTCCTTCTGAAATTGGAATATAAAGGCCAAATGGAATATTGTTATTTTATTTGTGCTGAGTAGGAAAAAAAATTGGAAAGGATAGTGACTAGTAATGGCCACAGAATGTTGGATTCAGTTTCTCTCTTGCAAAGAAATTCTAAGGGTCCTTTTTCCCATCTATGCAGCATATTGTTGCAAGGAGACTGTCTCCATAGCCTTGGCTAACACCAAGGCCAACTGCCCTGTAAAATGTTGCAGTAATATCCTACCGTGAAAAGAGTACATATAATGAACTGATATATTAGGATGTGACATAGAAGTTAATGTCTATTGTAGTGGGTACAGAAGAGGTAGTGAAACTAATTTTAATAAGGGCCTTCCCCAGAGGAAGTATGGTCAAACAGAAGTCAAATTAGTTGACTTCAGACAGTTTACATCCCAGGATGAATCAACATTTCAGTGATTTAAGCCCAATTTAATTTAGGCAGATTTTTTTTTAAAAAAACACAAGAATAAGAACATTCTTAGAACATATTAATAATTAAACCAACATGAACACAAATTAGTAATATTCTACATAATAAATGCACTGACACCTTGTTATCGTATTCCTAGTAATCAATTTAAAGAGTAAGTCAAGTCACTTTGTTACATCATAATGTACGTTTTCCAAGTCCAATATTGTTAACAGTCATGGCTGTTGTTGACAGGGTTGAAGGTTACGAACCAAACTCAATTGTTTCTTCAGTAATTTTCTTGAACTCATAGTTTCCTCTTCCATCCATGTGAAGATAAAACTTGGGGGGAAAGAAAACAGAGTCAGCAAATTTGGATATTACAGAGTGAAAAGTATGCATCTGTTTAGATAAGGATCATCTAGAAGAATTCATACTCAGACATCTCCCTGGGAAAAAGAGCTCAATAAAATGGGGATATTTGATCACCATCTGGTGGCCAAAATAATTAAACAAGTGGCCTAAGCCTTGTCTTTCAAAAATGAATTCAATGCTTCTTATTATTGAAACTCACAAATTGTTAAATAATAATCCTGTATTCTTCAAATGGTGATTAAAGAATGGGTATTAAAAGAAGTGATTTATATATATATAAAACACTTAGCTACAACAAACTAATGGCAAAAGTGACCTCTCTTAACTGTTTTAATTATAGTTATGAGCAATCACAATGTGCAATATTAATACAGAAAAACCAGCAATCTTCTTTAATTATCCTTGAGCTAAATGTACATGATCCAGAGGAGTACAGTAGAAAATTTCAATGACAGTATGGTTATTTATGACTCTGAACTTAGAAATTTAGGGGGGAAAATATAACTGAAAATCTAAGCAAACCTCTGACTCTTAACACTCAAAAACAAGGGAAAAACATTTAGTGAAGTTTTCCATTTATTTACTTACAATATCGATTTGTAAGGCTGCCCACTTGGCGATGACACTGGGCAGCTCACAAAGAGTTAAAAAGAATACGGATCATTTAAAAAAAAATAAATCATAAAAAGAGCTGCACTGAGGAAAAAAAGGACTGAGGAAAAAAACTCACAAGAACTAAACCTTACAGTCTCAGATTTCAAAATGCTGATTCATGCAATGTTCCACCACAGTGTCTGTAGCAACAGCCAGATCTTTAAGGCTCTCCTAAGGAGAGCAAGATCACAATTTTAAACAGTCCTCAAGAGGAAACTATTCCAAAGGGTAGGTCTAATGACAAAGAAAACTATGTCTACTGGATCCCATAAGATGATATTGTTTAATAAACGAGATCTGAAGCACGCTAACTCTATTGGATCTTATGAGACAGGCAGAAACAACTGATGTCAGACATCCCAGTGAATATTCAGGCCAATGTAAATATTAATCTGTTTAAAGGCTGGGTGATAAGTATCATGGCCCTCTTTTCTTGGGAAAATAAAGAAAAATCATAAAAAAGAACTAAATCTAAAAGAGTTTCATAAAGGTAAAAAATATATTTATGTTTACAACTTTGCTTTCTTTACAAAGGAAAATTCAAGAGCAAAACCCAAGAAAAACTTTATCAAAATACATATTGTAATAAAAATATCTAAAATCAAGTGATATATGTAAATTCATTTAAATAAAATGAGCCTTACATCATGGTGCTTCCAAAGTGATTTTCTGTGAGAAACAGTGAAGAGAGTGATGCCAACCTGAAATGCCAAAACACAGTTTAAGGGTTATAATAAGCTTTAGATTGCTAAACATCTATCTGCCCTGAGGCACACAAAACAATACAAAAAAAAGCCAATCCTTATATGATCTAGAGAAAAATAATCCAATTTTCCAAAGTATTCCTTTTTCTAAAAGCAGCTACCGGAAGAGGGACCATTTAGATCAGAATTATAGTGCTGGGATGAAACTTTTTATCTGTTTAATTTTACATTGCATAATTCTCTTTTGCAACTAACAGTTGCATTGTGGTACTTGTACATTTTCCCTACAATAAATAATAGCAGCTTGGAGTAGGGTGATTTGAAACAGGAAATCTACATGGGAAACATAAGCATTCACTCCCTTCTCCTAATCCTGTCTTCCCATTCTGCCCTTGGATTAAAAATGAGGCTATATCTCACACGTCATCTTTACTTAGGCTTTCCGAAATTAAATCCTAAAGAGATAAAAGAGGTATAAATCTTCTTCATTGAATTCACCAGAATTGAAGGCTGGTTTTCAGAAATGGCTTCATAATTATGTCATCACAAATATATTCTAACCATTTTTAAAACTTTTATTCCAAGACAAAGAAGAAACCCAAAATGCCACGAATGGGAAAATATGTGCATGAATAGTCAACTTCAGCTTCAGCAACTGCACAATTCTTATTTGCTTTGGTCCTAACAAAGACAAAACAGCTATTTGGGGCAGGACCAGCTCCAACTCAGTTTCAACTGTGAGATGGGGCAGCATATAAATTTAATAAATAAACTTGAATGAATGAATGAATGAATGAATGAATGAATGAATGAAGGAAGGAAGGAAGGAAGGAAGGAAGGAAGGAATGCACAAAATACCGAGTCAGCCCTCTTACCTCTTTATATTCTTCCATCCACTATCCAGGACAGGGGTGGGCAACTATGACAACGTTACAACCTATCTAGCGGATTCAGGAATTCTGGGAGTTGAAGTCCACATGTCGTAAAGATGTCATAGCGGCCTAGCCCTGGTCCAGGAACAACGTTTTTGACTGAAACTGGAGATTTAATTCCACCAAATCCCCATATATATTTTTTGGCTCAGCCACTATTTTCCCCCCTTTTCCAAAACAATGACTATTAATCAATGAACTAAATCACTCTCATCCTTTAATTCAGAGAAATTACCTTCAGGTTGGAGAGACTTCAGGAAGAGAGGGACAGACTTAAGTTATATTCTACAGAAAATACGTAATAAAAATTGGCCGAAGCAGACTGTCATTACTCTTCATGTGATTTTTCTCTCTGCTGTTTTATTTTGTCATCTTTAAAACATATTCAAGTTAATAACTCTAGGGTCTGTTGGCCTAGAACAGAGGTAGGCAACCTTGGCTCTTTTATGACTCGTGGACTTCAACTCCCAGAATTACCCCTGGCCTAGAGTAACTATAGTAATATAGTCATATTTCCTTCTTTTTTTATATGACTTTAAAGTTAGATCTGAAATTAGCAATGCAAAATTAACCACAGAAAAACATACTTTCCGACAATGGCTGTAGATGTATCCCTCCACATCAACACTAACAGCACTAGTACATTCATCCAGAATTGCAAACTGGGGTTTATGGTAAAACAATCTAGCCATCTGAAATGAAAAAAGAAATGATAAAGAATTATCATATAATCCATACGTACGAAGAACATTTAATTGGATTTTTTTTTTAAAAACGTAAGATATTTTGCAGTTAATCATAAAATATAAGTCACATTATATGGAGAAATGTTCAAATCACAACATTACTACACAAATGTCCATTAATTCCACTACATTCCTATTCTCCAGTCACATTATTTATAGGCAGTCCTTTAGTAAACATTAAAATAAAAACAAAACAAATTTCATACATGGTACAGCTCTTTTTTTCTTGAAGTAGATGCAAAAATTTCGTTCTGTTGCCATCACACAGGATTATGTGAAATTATTTTACTAAATTTCTGATCTCTTAAAAGTTAATGGGAGACTTATCTATGACCGAGAACTGCTGCTAATTCTAGATCAGAAGAACAAATATTTTGAACTGGAATTAAGCAGATCCTGGACTGTAAGTAGTGAACTAATTTTTTTTTTTAAGCTTATTGTCAAAAACAGACACGGTAACACATTTTATTCCTATGTAATACTGTATTAAATTGTTAACCAACAGGTACAAGTAGTCCTCGACTTACAACAGTTCGTTTAGTGACTGTTCAAAGTTACAACGTCACTGAAAAAAGGTGACTTATGACTGTTTTTCACACTTATGACCATTGCAGCATCCCCATGGTCATGTGTTTCAGATGCTTGGCCATTTATGACGGTTGCAATGTCTCCCAGGGTCTTGGGATCACTTTTTGCAACCTTCTGACGAGCAGTCAATGCGGAAGCCAGATTACTAAGTTAACTAACTTAACAACTGCAGTGATTCACTTAACAACTGTGGCAAGCAAGTTTGTAAAATGAGGCAAAACTCACTTAACAAATGTCTCGCTTAGCAACAAACATTTTGGGCTCAATTGTGGTTGTAAATCGAGGACTACCTATAGTAAGGTCCAGGACAATGACTGAGGCATGATTTTACTTCAATTCCTTCTGGCTTGCGACCTCCAATGAAGTGGATAGGATGCTAAGTTCTCCTCAAACATCTATAGTTTTAATCATTGCCCTTCCTAGTTCCTTTGGGCAGTTAAGGAAGAGGAAATTTCTACATCTGGACCTAGGAGATTATTAATGCCTCACTGAAGGATGGGATGCTAATGGCAGCCTTGAGGGAGGCTGTGACACATCTCCTCAAATAGTTCTTTCTGGATCCAGAGATACTGGATGACTATTGCCCAGTCTTCAACCTCCCCTTTTGGAGGAAGGTTATTGAAACAGTGATATGGCATCAACTATGGAGAATCCTATAAGAAATGAATTATTGAAGGACTCTACACTTAGGAGTTGAGGCAATCCTGGTTGCGCTAGTAGTAGATATTTGTTGGGACCTAGGGATTTGGTGGTCTATAAAAGTAATTAATAATAGTAGTAGTAGTATTAGACTACTGTTTTGCTGAATTTATGTCAAAATGTCAATCAAAACCAGTGCTGGAAAAATGCACAGAGAGTCAAGGGACACCATGAAGACAACCTACCGCCATTCTCTGTTTCTCTCCTCCACTGAGAACATCCATCCAGTCTTGAATACTATCCCAGCCTCCTTCACGGTCCAAGATCTGACCCAGCTGGACATTATCTAAATATTCCTTTAACACCTGCAACCAAAACAGTAAACAGATATTGCTTAACAGCTTGCAGATACATTTGCTAGTATCTGCCTGTTCATTTATCTAATCCTCCCCCTCCCTGACAATTTAGATTGGTTTAGTTCAAAATATATTGTCAGAAAATTGTACCAAGCAACAATATTAACTAAGCTAGATTATGTACTTTAAGTGGTACTAAAGTGCATGAGAAATGTTATGCAGCCTCACATATAGTTGACTGACCTTCCCTTCCATTAAAATAGTAACCATGTGCTCTCTTTCACCAGAACTATAGTCTTTTCTCCCTTTTCTCTGTGATTCAAGCCAGAAATCACAATGGCATTGCTACAGAACCTGGCATTTAACTCAGAGAAGCATCAATGCAGAATTCAGATTCAATCAATATTCTCTTTTTCTATATAGGTACCAGAGTTCTGGGATCTGGTAATCCATGTGTACAGTTATAAAATTCCACCCATCTTGAAAGCTTAGCAGTAATTAAAGCAGAAGGATAATTTCTAGGCAGGTACTGATGAATTGATGCATCTCTTCTTTATTATATTCATACCCTATAACAGTATGAGCAGACAGGGACTATGCACCTGATTTTTCTGTCCTATAGTTTCAGGATGGTCACAAGCTAGCACATTTTCCTATTTGCCAAGTGGCAGTGTCTACAATAAATTCAGAAAATTAGCTTTTATGATTCTACTTCTATACTAATTCAGAATTCTAATTGAGCAGATTAAGGCTTGCATGAGCAAGGTTGTAATTAACCTCAATTAAAAAATAACAACAACAAGAATCAACCTTGGAATACCTGAAACACAGATACCTCTATTATAGCAAGTCTGAAACCCAACGAAGCAATACTCTATCCAGAAACTTTATTCTTTTGGCATGGTTATCTATAATAGATACATATTTACTTTTTTAAAGTATTATATCTTTTTCAGAGAAAGAAAAATCAAAATGTGTAGAAACACTTATAAATTTCCCTTCTTCTCTCTGCTCCCATTAACGTTGTAATAAATACAAGAGTATCCATCCATAGAGATTTTGCATATATGCACATTTCTTGGAACGTACCAAGTATGGCTTATCTATTCCCAGAAGTTAATCTTCCTAGATAGGAAGTGGTTTGTGTTGTCTGGGATATTTTCCAGATCAAAACTCACAGTTTTGCATAACTAGATTTACCATTCTGAAATTACATCCTCACAGCTTGAACAAGTTGGTTCTGGTTTCAACCAGCGGTGGGATTTAAATATGTGAACCCACACATTTGGAGAACGAACCTTCACCCTCATATATATGAATTCTGAGACAATACTTGTTTAAAGGGAATATACATATATAAATACTGGGACAAAACTTGTTTAAATCATTGGCATTTCAAATTATTACATGCTTTTAAAATTTACAGTGATTTCTGGTTTTTTTTGGGTTTTTTTTTACTATATATCTACAGTAAATATAATCTTTAAAAATAGATAGAGCCAGGCTACAAAGCAGAAATCGGTGAACGCTAGGTTCCATCTTAGCCATGAAAGCCGGCTGGGTGATTTTGGGTCAGTCACTCGCCCTCAGCCCAAACCACCTCACAGGGTTGTTGTTGAGAGGAAAGTAGGATGAGAAAAGTGTGTTGGATATGTTAGCTGCCTTGAGCTATTTGTAGAAATAATAAAGGGGAGATTCAAATAAGTAAAATATAGGGATAATAATGCATTTCACCTGGTCGGAGATGCCTTTCTTTTTTTGATCTTCTATAGTGTCTGGATAAATTACTTGGTCTCTCAATGTCCCAAGTGTCATATATGGTCTCTGAAATTGAAATTATAAGGAATTAGAAAATTGGGACATTTGTCAGAGGGAAGAAAGGTCAACAGTCTCAGAGGGTTGATTTACCTGAGGAACGTAAAACAACTTTCCTCTCTCGGGTTTAGTTAGACAGCCACCAAACAAAGGCCACAACTGCAATAAGCAAACACAATTTATTAGAATAGAAATGTAACGTCATTTTTTTTTGCCCTTACAATCAAATTTACTTCAGCCTTTACTTACTTCACCAAGGACACGGAAGAGAGAACTCTTTCCACATCCATTTGGCCCACAAATAAGAACATTTGCCCCGGATCGCACCTAGAATACAAATCAAGACAGAATATATTTAAAGTTTCTCAAACACTAAAAGCTAATGTATATGAATTACCTTCCTAATGCATGAGGTTCGCTTCATTAACTTGGGAATATAGATTTGATTTGGCAAATATTTTTCTAGCTATTCTTTTAAACATGAGCACTCAAAAAGTATTCAAACCTTGAAGTGTTTATAAAATTTGGTAGAAGGACGTTAAAAACCCTCCGTGCAAATTTCGGTTCACAACGGAGCACACCTGCTTTTTTTTTTTTTTTTAGTACTAAAATGTTCAGTTCAATTTACAAGTTTTTAAAATAATTTGAACTAGGCTATTTTACGAAAATAAAATGCAAGATTCTGTTACTGCAGCCTGTCTCAATCAAGTATCGTTCTTGTCTTCCTGCAGAGTGATTTCTGATTGGTCTACCTTAAAGGCCATTCCTCTGGCTACTTACTTGTGGAATGCCACAGAGATTGGTCCTCTCTCTCCTACTCTTTAATATTTATATGAAGCCACTGGGAGATGTCCTGAAAAACTTGGGGTGCTGATGATACAGACTTTTATGCTGCCACCCATGTCTGAACTGGACTCCATCAACTGTGGTGGTCCTCTTCCTTTGTCTGGAAGCTACAAGAATCTGGATAGGACAGAACAGGCTGTGCTAAAACCCTAGTAAGACAATTTTGAAGCTATTCAAAAAAAAATGTTATGGAACGGATATTCTGCTGTATATTATTACTACCTAATGGAAACAACAGCCTGATTAATGTATTGTTTAAAATTCCTATACTAGTGTATGATCAGTGACTAGGTCCATGGAGAACAGTAATCTGTTCATCAAATTTCTCCTTGTTTCCATGTGCACAGCATGATTATCACCAGGAAGAGGAAGAGGTTTCTGCAAATATTTAACATTAGGCATACAGAAGATGGGAAAACTACTTACAGTCTACCTGGGTTAGTTTCTCCTATAGAAATATTTCCTTTTCCTGCCTCTTGGCACTTTCCCCCAAATTTAGAAAACATTCTTGATTGTCTCTGGAAGGGCTCTTTACTGAGAAGAAGACATTACTCAAAATTGGGGAGATTTCACTGATCAAAACACCTCCACTAATTTTGGGCAGTTTTTCACTTTCAAGTCAATCTCCCTCACTATCACAGATCCCTTTGTTCTGAAATAATCTCCCAAAGTCACTGTTTTGGGATGGGAAGAGGAACAAAGCAGTTTTTTACTCTCATCCAGAGAATTATTTCAAGATAAAATTGTGAATGTTGCAGGGTACCTCAAAGTTGAGATCTTTAATCAACATATCGCCATTTGGTGTTGCCAATGGAACGTGATCAAATCTTCAAGGAAAATAAGACATACCACCATTAAAGATATTACCATTACACAAAGGAGCAATTAATAATGTAATTAGTAAACTTTGGCCTAAATTTAGTAGTAAATTACTGTTAAAACAAGAGAGTAACATTTTCAAGGTACTTGCAATATAGCCATACCACAAAATTAAGCACAAGTGCAACAGAATGCAGGATGGCAGGGGTCTCAGAGCTGCAACAAGGACAGCTTGTGTTGGGGCACCTGCAATTTCTTGAGATGGCTGGGGCTTCACCTTGTGCTGGTTCTAACCTCCGGGGCAGCTGCAGCTTTGTGCTGGGATTAGGACTCCTTGCAGCCACAGAGCTGTGGCAAGCCAAGACATTCCTGAGCTGCAATGTGGCAAGCAGTCTCTAAGCTGCGTGGTTCCTGGACTGCTTGCCCCCCTGCAAAGTGCAGGGGGGGCAAAAGGGCAGAGGTGGCGGGGTGGGGAATTGGAGCAGTTGGAAGGAGCTCAAGTGGAGGCAGTCTCTTACGTTGGAGGAACCAAGGATTGGGACTGGGAAAGACCAAGTCAGGAGTGAGTGATTTGCATTGGGATGGGTCCTCAGTTCACAACTGCAATTGGGAGTGCCAGGATTGCTATCACTAAGCAATTGTTTAGCGGTGAAAATTCCAGTTCCAACTGCCCCATACATGGAAGAGAACCTAAGGGTGGAAATGTGTTGACGTTGAACGTTTCCTTTTGAAAGTTTGGAGGTTTATGAACAGTGACAGTTCATAAATGTGGAAATGTGTTGATGTTGAACGTTTCCTTTTGAAAATTTGGAGATGTATGAACAGTGACAGTTCAATAACTTTTTGAGTGTTGTTTTATAAGGCCTGTTTTGTATATTTACTTTAATGCAAACTCTCCCCCACAAAGCTTCCTGCAGATGCAAAAGATGGCAATAGTTGTTGACAGTTGGGGTAAAACATTGATCAATATAAAACTGCCGTCTTAAATCAATCAAGTCAGATTGCTAGACAACTCTGCCAACTGAACAAGTTGCAACTTGTGATGCTCATTCATTAAACATTTCAAATGTAATGCTGTTCGCTTTTTAACTTAATTCATTGAATCCCATGCAGATGACACAAACTCCAAGATCTGAGGAAGCATATCCATACACAGGCCTACATAATTAGGTTTTCTGCATCCAGAAGACCACAATTGGGGGTGGGGGAGAGAAAAAAAAATGGCATTGCCAGGAAGCAATTGTAGACATGGTCTCACAGTTGCTTCTTGTACATTTTACTCTTGTGTGCAGAGATATACAACAAATTCTAAAAAATTATAAACAAAATTTAAATAGCATGGATGGGTGTATAGAAATGAAAAAGGTTAATGGATACCCTAATAAGAAATGAGGAATTTTACCTACTTGATAATGTTATCTGTTATGACAATCTGTCCCGTTCCAGGAATCAATGGGGTAGTTTCTTTTAAGTCTAATTCTTAAATTTAAAAAAAAAAGTAATCAATAGCAAGGTTATTATGAGTTTTTGTACTGATTCCTTAATCAACATCAGGGTATCATGGTTACCTTTGTCTTGGGCTAGCATGGTTCGTTGATATTTCCCTTTGTTTAGGTCCTTCAGAACTTGCATTAATTCCGTAATTCGAGCTGTGAAGCTAAAGGTGATAAATCCATTAAACTGACAAACTTCAAGCATTTTTCTTCAAAACTGAATTTTCATCAAAAATAAATTAAACCAACAGTTTAAAACGGAAAGCAAAATAATACATATTACGAGTGCCTGTTGTAATTATTTAGAAAGTACTTTTATCTGTTAAATGATGCTCCAAGCTTTGTTCATACGCTTCATGTTTTATATTTCATAACCATCAAATTAATCACAATTATCTCATCATTAGAAATGAATACAGATTTGTGGCTAACAAGGAAGATTAAAATAATTTTATTTTATGCATGAAAATAGAATTACACTAATTGATCAAGCTTACCGTTGGGCAAATGCCAGCCAGGCTGGAGGCAGGAGTCAAGCAAGGGTCTAGCTTAGAGTTCTTGCACTCTGAGTTCTTTATGGATCTCCCTCAAGATCCATAAAGCCTTACCTGGTTGTTCCTGAGGAAGGTAAGCAGTCTGGGGAGATTCTTGTAACACAGGCAGAAGTCAATAAAATTGTTTACTTTGAGGGATGACTCCAGTTGCTTGTACCTGACACTTACCCAGCCAATCGAGTCATTTCACGACCAGCTAGAACTATTCTGCCAAGGGCTTGAGACATTCTCAGTAGCATTCTTCCACTTTGGTAGTAATCCTTAAAACAATGAAATAAAGGTTTGCTCAAAAAATGAACAAGCAATAGAATAGAGTGTCTTTATTGTCATTGTGTAACTCACAACAAAATGATGTGGGGCATTTAATACAGCTGCTGCAGCAAATATATTACTCACCTCCAAAAGTTCAGCATGGGTGCTATTCTGATGACGAGGATGATGCAAGTTTAAAAATGGACGGCTAACCACCAAATAGCCAACTACAGTTGCAAGATCTATAAAATTTGAAGAACAAGAAGAAGAAAGCATTTCTAATGCCGTATCTTTATTTTAAATGTGGATTGATCCGACATTCAGACAGCAATTTCATGAAACACAGTTTTATTCTTTTCAATTTAATACAGGTAGTCGTTGTTTAGTAACCACAATTAGGAACCAGCAACTCCGGGTTGCTAAGTGGGAAATGGTATGACCACAACTGGGATTTTGCTTGCCTCCTAACCATTCCCCAGACCTTGGGGATGCTCACTCCAGGACTGGCATAATAAAAAGGAACTAATATTTGTATTTATATTAATTGGAAAGGAAAGGATTGCAAGACAGTATAGGAGTCCTTGCTTAATGACCACAATTCGGCCTAGAATTTTGGTCGTAAATCATTGCGGGCATTTAAGCAGGTCCCCATGTTATCTGACTCAATCTTAGAACTGTTTTATAATGATCATAAAGTAAGCCACCACAGTCATTAAGCGAACCATGAGGTTAAGCGAATCCAGTATATCCAAAGGGTAGTTTTTGACATTTTCTGCTGGAAAACGGCAAAAAATGTCACGAATTGTGGTCACCTGATCCTAGAACTCTGCAACTGGCCTTAAATGCAAGATAGTTGCCAAGTGCCTGAAGTGTGAGCATGTGACTGTGGGGATATATGTGCGGTAGTTGTAACTTGGAGGATGGGTCGTAATTTTTTTTAGTTTGCCGTAAAGCGAGGACTACTGTAAGCAGGCACACAGTGGGTAATACATATTAAAAGCAATATTCAGGTACCAGCAGACATGAGCATGCTATGCAAATAGTTCAATGTATTTCCCATTGTGTACCTGCTTACTCTTACTCTTTCCCTTGGAGAACGATGGGTAAAGGCACAGGAAAAACTGCCTACAGAAATAGCTTGTTTTTTCTCTTTGGTGTTCGCAGAGAGATTGGTGAGGAAAGAATTAGAAGAGAGTAAGCAAGCACACAATGGGGAATAGACTGGACTGTTTGTGTAGCGCACATGGCTCCTGGCACCAGTGTATTGCTTTCAATGTGTACTACTCACTGTGTGCCTGCTTAGTCTTTTGTAATCCCTTCCTCTCCAATCTTTTTGCCCTGCAAGGGGGAGAGGGAATGAAAAACAACAGGGCAGGCTCCAGACAATGAGTACTGACTGTAATGGTGATCTCGTTAATTCAAAAGTTAAACAATGGTCTAGGATCAACAAAATGTGAATAAAACTCTGCACTATAAGATAGTTCCTTTTTCTTCTACTGAAGACTGGGGAAACCTCTTAAAACAGACATGTCAAACTCGCGACGTCACATGATGTCGCGCAACGTATTGGGACGGTTTTGCCATTGCCGGCAATGGAGTGGGTGCGGCTTCCAGATGACGCGTCCGGCCCACGGGCCGGCAGTTTGACACCCGTCTTAAAAGATATAGGAATCAGAAGGGAGAGGTTGCTATTTAAAAATCAGGAAGTAGACACTGGGACTATGGAATTTTACATGCTAAAATGACTGTTTTGTGGAAAGTACTATTACTTCTATAACAGGAGAGAGAGAGAGAGAGAGAGAGAGAGAGAGAGAGAGAGAGAGAGAGAGAGAGAGAGAGAGAGAGAGAGAAAAGAAAAAAAAGAAAAAAGAAGGAAGGAAGGAAGGAAGGAAGGAAGGAAAGAAGGAAGGGAGGGAGGGAGGGAGGGAGAGAGGGAAGGAAGGAAGGACTGAACACTTACATTTAGCAACAATCGTGTCTACAAAGCCCATTGTAAACCGGAACAAAATAAAATTGTGCAGGTGCTCTACCTAGGGCAATAAAAAAACAGTTATGTCAATACATTTGATATGGTACTTAAAATTTGGATTAAAAATAACTTTGTGTCTCAGTCTTTATTAAGGCATATTTATTTTATTGGGAAACAAAAAAGAAAAAAGTTGAATTCTACAATGTACAGGAGGGAAATTCTTATCCAAGAGTTGAAAATGTATATGTAGCAGGCCATTTTTGGCAATCTCATTTAAAAAAAAAAGTGCTATCTTTTATAAATCATAATTTTAAAAAAAACATATAAGGGTTATATAAGAAAATGAGAATGAGAAAATTGTTTGGGAAAGAGTGAAAAGATATGCTACAATTGACCACAAAAATGTGTGGCGTTATGAGAAATCGATGAAAAGATACTTGAGGGAATGCTGGTGAAAAATGCTGTGGGTGAGGAAAAAAATCCTTATTACAGAATAACAGTACCAGGAAATGAGGACCAGGAAAAAACAGTGTGTGTTTGTGTTAGTGTGTGTATGTGTACGTGTGTGTGCTGCACACAATATAGTCAAAGAGAACAAGGAACAGTTAAAAGTGGCATAGAAAATGCAGAGCAATTCTGAAATACACATGCATGCATGTATATATGTCTTAAAAAAATAATTACTCATCCAATAAGTGGATGTTGATGACTCCCAAGAATAAAATATGCAAATAGATAAAGACAGGTAAATCCCTTGGAGTATCACATCCATCAAGGAAACCTGTGGCACATTAGAAATTAAACTTGAATTGTGATAAAAATTTTCAGAGGCAAAAGTCTACAATGTGAAATAGTTTTCTGCCTTTTAAACTGCATACATTAAATTGATTAAGCTTTAACAATAAGATTTGTTTTTGCATCCCAGTTAGGGCTTCAAACCTACTCACAACTAAAAAAAGTGAATTTATATTTATAATGCAATATGGAAAACTAAAAAAAGTGAGCTAACCATTGGGGAAAAATATTTTGGTGCTTGTAAATGGTACTTGCAAAACTCAAACAAATTTGTAAATGGTACTTTTAAAAGTCAAATACATTTTTTTAAAAAAAAAATCCACATCCAGGATTAACAAAATTCACTGGCTCTGAAAGTCACTGGGTCTACAGGCAGTTTTAAGTCAGACTTTAAGGAAAAATGAACGATATAAAGTGTGAGAGGGGAAGAAGATGGTAAGCAAGTTTGGCAAGATTTTTGGAGACTGGATACAATCAAACTGAAGGAGACAAAATGCTTAGTATCACTAAAGCATTTAGAGGGCCAATTTATGGAAAAGGTCAATATGCTACATGTCCCCTCCTTTTAAACTACAGTATATCGTTTGGCAGTACACCTTAGGCCAGTGATGGCAAACCTTTTAGAGACTGAGTGCCCAAACTGCAACCCCAAACCCACTTATTTATCACCGGGTGCCAGGTGGGCGTGGCCCACTGGGTGGCCGTGGCTGTGGTGGTCATGGCAGATTGGGTGGGTATGATCACCTCGATGTTGCTCGTGGGGAGGGACGCCTGTGGGGGACGGGCAGGGTGGGGGAGAATCAGGGGGTCTCTGGCAGGTGGGACGGTGGGCAGGAGGTGAGGTAGGGCGAGGGTGCCATTGTCACAGGGCAAGGTGAGGCAGGGGCCAGCGGCTATTGCCTGACACCATCAGCTGCTGCACACAGAGACCAGTGAGTGCATGGATGCTGGGATGCATCTGGCCATGTGGGACCTCGGCAAGTTAGCAGGCGACTGGTTAAATAGGGACGGTTACCATCTCCGGGACATGGCACGTGTGCCCACAGAGAGGGCTCTGAGTGCCACCTCTGGCACGCGTGCCATAGGTTCGCCACCACTGCCTTAGGCATTGCTTTCAGAAAAAAATATAGTTTCTTTCATCTATTGCTTTTATTCTCATTAAGTGGTTGTCTCATGCAGATATCCCTCTAGCATAGAAGCCTTTCATAATCTTTAGCATTACTGTGTCAAATGTTATGGCTTATTTACATTACCAAGCAATTTGAGGCTAACTTACCAGTTTGTGAAAAGCTTTGTGAATCGTCTGTTTTTCTCTTTGATTCCCATTATAAAATGCAATTTCTTCACTGTAGAGGGAAAAAAAGTCTAATCAGCGCACATCTGCAAGCGAGATCAAGTTACGCAGCAGGAGAATGAGGTGGGGTTGTCTACAGGTGATAAAGTGTAATGGCACCCGCAATTTCAGACAACAGGTTGGAAGTCACAATTTTAAATGCTCCCTGATCTCTTTCCCTGCTTATTACACATGTATTAATCCTGCCCTGCAGCACAAAATCACATCAGCTGTTTCAGCATTTCATAACTCTCGATTTCCCACATGTCTGGACCAGACCGTGGAATGACTAAAACATGATTTTGCAACTAGTGAAAGTTTGCTGCAACATCAAAATTAGCAAAATTCTTGTTTAAATAACCAAGCAAAATAACCCACAATGCATGCATTCTTAAATTCTTAGTTACAACCATACTCTTCATTCCCTAATAGAATTACCAGGTCAATTCCTGCTTTTCACTGCTTTAGCAGTAAAGTTCACATTATGTTTCCATTAACGTTAAGTTCACATTAAGTTCATAACTCAGTGGTGGGATTCAGCAAGTTCGCACTAGTTCGACAGAACTGATAGCTAATTTTTTGTTGCCCAGGCCCAGAATGGACTTCCGGAAGCGGCATCCACAAAGAGAACCGGTTGCTCACATATCTGAATCCCACCACTGTATTAACTTCACTTTTTTAAAAATAAAATGGGTATTTTAAGAAGTTTTTTTTAGTTAAGCAGCCAATTGTCTTAGGACAGTGATGGCGAACCTTTTAGAGACCGAATGCCCAAACTGCAACCCAAAACCCACTTATGCATCGTCAGGTGCCAGTGGGTGTGGCCCATTGGCTGGGTGTGGCCCATTGGATGGGCATGGCCCATTGGGTGGGCGTGGCTGCGGTGGTAACAGCAGACTGGATGGGACTAAAAAGTTCAATCAATCAATTCCAACTTTGCAAGATTTTTTTTCCCGTCAGAAGTTGAAATTGACTGATTGATTGAACCCTTTTTTTTTTTTTTGCACATGGCGGCGGAGGCCTAAAGCGAAAAGGTTTTATAAAACCCAGCTGAAGGCCTAGGACTGGGGCGACAGCGCGCGTGCCCACAGAGAGGGCTCTGCGTGCCACCTGTGACATCCGTGGCATAGGTTCGCCACCATTGTCTTAGGATGTGCTTCCTACAACAAATTAAATTACACTAAAACAAATTACGACAAATCAAGCAAACATATATATCTTAGTCATTCAGTTTTCAGATGAAAACTATGTTTCCATTCTTTACCAACCAATAGAGAGAGGTTTAACATGAAACATTTTAAGTTTTTTTTAAATAAATAGCAACATAAAGGACTTGATTTAGCCTATCATATTTGGCCTAATGAACATTAGTTTGTCTTGAAACTGTCTCATACCTGTTTGTAATGAGCCGTGAATTGACGTATCTATACTCGCCTTCATATTTTTGTTCTGTAATAGTCATCTTACCAATAGGTCTTCTTAAGCGTGTAAGGAAAAAGCCTGAAAAAATCAAGTAGGCCATCATGGAAGCAGGGCCCTGGAAATATCAAAAAATAAAATAAGACACAACTTCCAGAATAAATCTATTAACAATATTTTCTTTTTCAAAAAGGGTGCATCTAGCAATCCATCTGTGCAGAGGCTGGTTACAAGTATCATCTGACTAGAGGTTAGAAGTTACTTCCAACTGCAGAAAAATGAAATCAACCTTAAAGACCTGCCAATTCTGAAATTAAATAACGTTTAATTATTTTTATAAATGACAGCAGGTTCCAAATATAATAAATTTTGCTTCTGAGTATATATGGATATAGTATTGTAGAAATCAAGGGCTGATCTATGATAAAAACTTTTTCTGAAAGATTATGATACAATGACTCTTAACGTTTTATAGTGGCTTATGAACACATCAGCTTCTATTACAAAACATGTGTGCAAGGATGCAGGCATACATGTCTGTATGTGTTTGACTCAGTGTTGATTCCTGTTGAGTCCCTGCAGTTTTCTTGGCAAGATTTCAGAAGTAGTTTGCCATTATCTACTTCCTAGAACTCAAAGAGAATGACTAGCCAAGATCACCCAGCTGACTTTCATGCCTAATGTGAGACTAAAATTTACATTCTCCAGGTTTCTAGTCTGGTCCTACACCAAACTGGGTCTCTAGAAGAATTTAAATTTATATAAAATTCTTAAAAGTCCAAAATGATCTTATCTTTCTACATGCCACACCATCAAACATTGTTAAACGAATATCCCACACTATATTTATCATTTGTTTATAGAGTATATAGCACACATTTGACAGATTATAATAAAATGGTTGACAATTTCTAAATTTCTTGTCATTTTAAGTTCCAAAGACTTCTCAATATTACATTATAGAAAATTCTCAATAATTCATTTCTCGTATTGGAGAACATATAGTTCATATTCAAAGTGCATAAATAAAAATAAAATTGTACCTGCGCTCCTATTGCACTTGTTAGTTTGAAGATGTATAGAACAATATCCAGAAATGGCTGCAAAATAAGATTTAATTGTAAATATTCGTTGTGGGAGAAAGCATGCAATATGAATTTTTATTTAAAAGGACACTTTTAAATAAACACAGCTAAAATGTCTCATTGTAACTTAGTCTTTCAAAAGTTCTGTGAACATTCTGATTCAATTTTAAAAACTAAAAATCTGTATTTTAAAAAAAATCCTACCGTATAAATCAGTTTCTCAGGAATTTTTGCTTTCTCTACTGTTCAACAGTTATTTAAATGCAAGAACAAATCTTTAATTCAGCAGTTTTTCAGTTTCATGATGAGAATGAATATTTAAATTGCTCCTATGTAAATAAAATTTAAGCATGTAGATGACAACATAATCACTTTTTTTCTTCACACTTACCTTGCTGAGGTTTGAATATAGGTCCACTACACTGTTACAAAATTTTTCAACATCTTGTGTAAGTAGCTGATCAGGATTGCCTATTCTGTTGTCCAAATTGCCCATTTTGTAGAATGTGTAGCTCCTAAAATGTCAGGAAATCAGTAATATAATACAGCAGTTTTACTGAATGATTAACTATATTTATATTTATTTATTAAATTTGTTGCTGGACCTCTCGCTGCAAGGCGATTCTAGGCCGTTTACAAGGTTAAAAGAAGTAAAACTATACATATACATACATATATTCATGTGCGTGTATAATAAAATATAGATTATAATTAAAATTACGGTAAAAAAAAGATGCGGAGGGAGAGGACAGGCTCTGCAGGGGTGAGGTGGAATCTGCTATTGGTCCATCAACCACCTCTCGTTGGGGCACCAAGCCAACTGGCAGAGCCAGGTCTTCAGACTCTTATGGAGATCAAGAGGGTGGGAACAAATCCCACCCTAGAAGGCAAGATGTTCCAAAGGGCAGGAGCCATGACAGAGAAGGCTCTTTTCCTGGACCCCACCAGCTGAAATTCCTTGATTTTCAGGATCCGCAATATGGTCCCTGTGCCAGCGTGGATAGGGCAGGCTTGTCCCATTGGAATGAGACAGTCCCTCGGGTAACTTGGACTCATGCTATGCAGGGCTTTAAAGATGATGACCAACTCTTTGAATTGCACCTAGAAGCAAATTGGTAGGCAAGGTAGTTCATAGAACAGCAGTGTGATATGAGCCACAGCAGTGTGATATGGGCCACCCTAAAGTCTGCCCGTTCTGCCACACTCTGCACCAGTTGTGGTGTTCTTCAAGAGTAGGCCCATGTACAGCGCACTGTTGTAGACCCAATATGAAATGACCAGGATTTGAATAACTGAGTGCAGGGACTCCTGAACCAGGAAAGGCTGCAATTGGCGCACAACCCAAAGTTGTGCAAAGGCTGCCCTAGCCATGACTACCATCTGCTCTTTGAGCAGGAGTCATGAATTTAGAAGAACCCCCAAATTGCGAACCAGGTCGGTATGGGATAGTGCCACCCCATGAACTAAAAATGTCAAAGACCCAGATCTTGAAGCGTCACGCTCCCAAAGCCATTTAATCTTGTCAGGGTTCATTCAAAGTCTGTTGTCCCTCATCCAGGCCTTGAAAGCCTCCAGGCACCGTGAAAAGGCAGAAACAGCATCACTCGGTTCACCAGGAGTGGAGATGTAGATACCTCAAGGTACCAACGATAGCTGAACCCATGGTGATGAATGATCTCACTGGGTGGCTTCATGTAGATGTTAAAAAGGAGAGGTGAGAGTAACAAACCCTGCAGCCTGCCACAGGCTGAGGGCTGGATCTCTCACTCCCTGTCAACAATGACTGGGACTGGTCTTGGATAAAGGAGCCAAACCAGCACAAGACTCTGCTCCCCAGCACCAGATCCCATAGCCAGCCCCCCAAAGATACCATGGTTGATGGTATTGAAGGTTGCTGAGAGACCAAGGATGGTTGTACTACCCCTATCCCACTCTTGCCAGAGATCATCCACAAATGCTGTTTCTGCCCCATTACTGGGCCTGAATCCTGACTGAAAGGGGTCCAGGCAATCTGTTTCATCCAGGATCCTCTGAAGCTGGCAAACAACCATCTTTTCTACCACCTTCCCTAAGAAGAGAAAATGGGAAATTGGACGAAAAGTGTCCAGGCAGGTGGGATCAAGCAAAGAAGGGGTGAATCGGAGCCTCCTTATATACAGTATCATATTATACATTACAATTTATATTAAACTTTAAAGGATTAGAGTTTATTTAATTTTAATCTAATTCAGTGGTTCTCAACCTTTTTAATACCGCGACCCCAACCGGTCGTAAGTCGAGGACTAAACCGGTCGTAAGTCAAGGACTAAACCGGTCGTAAGTCGAGGACTACCCAACCGGTCGTAAGTCGAGGACTTTCCCTGCCTGGGAGCGCCACGCATGCGTGGTTACGCCCCCTGCGCCGGCCGAGGCGTAGCTGGCAAGCAGCAGAGATGGAGCAGGCCGACCACCAGCTGGCCCAGCTCAAGGGACGTAAGGCACCCGCCGGAAAAGGGGAAAAAAATGGCTGACAGCCTTGCTTGGCGACCCCCGTGAAATGGTTGATCGACCCCAAATGGGGTTGCGACCCATAGGTTGAGAACCTCTGATCTAATTTAATGTTAAAAACAAAAAAAATCACTTACTGCAGGTACTGCTCATAAAGATACTTGGTAAGTCGGACACGGAAACACAATTTAAGTTCATTTAGTCCGTATTTCAAGAAGTTATTCACTAGGGAAATCTATAAATAAGAACATATCAATGCGAATGCAAAATTTAATGTGCTTCAAACCCACCACCACCATTTTAGATCCCAACAGATGGCAAACTAAAATCCAGTTTAAGATTATAACCCACAAAGGAATTCATCTGCAATCCGATCAATGTTTATTTGGGAAATACGCCCCAGTAAATTGAAGGCAATCTAAACTTGCATAAGATTGTGCTGTAATCAGGTTTTGGTTTTTTTTTTTTAAAAAAAATCCTCATGAAGAAATATAAAGCACCAAGAGGAAGCTTGAAATGTAATAGTACTTGCTACTCTGTGAACTGTTTTACCAGATGGTGACAGCTTTTCATGGCACAATATCACAATATACTGGGGATTATATAAATTACAGCATGTTGGTGAACAATCTTTTATCTGTAAGGACCACATATTTTGGTACCACAAAAGAAATAGAAAGCAGCAGCCGTAGGAGGGGATTTTCTCCTACATATGCAGGAAACAAGATCTTCTAATTCATTCTTTGATTTTGAAAGATTTTCATTCCCTCCCCCTTCTATGTTAGTACTTGTTCTGCTGGTTTTTCTACACACATACAAAAGAAGCTGTAATGTGCTAATATCTTGCTACACAGGTCTCAACTATCAACAGTAAGGCTTTTGCCGACCTGAACTGGCCCATTTGTTATGTTCTCCCTGGAAGAAGCTTCTGCATATACCCCACTTTTATAAGTAAGGGGAATGGAGGTCACGGGGTCCTACTTCTCTGGCCTTGTGAAATGGTTTTCCCTTGGAATTAAGATAGACACTATCCCTCTTCACATGCTAAACTCTTTCCCAGAATGTATAGAGACTGGTAAAACTGCTTCAATTCCATTTAACTGTTGTGTTCCATTTTTATCTTACATTTTGGTCAATGGTGGGATTCAGCCAATTTGCACCACTTCGGTAGCTAATTTTTTGTTGCTCAGGCCCAGAACGGATTTCTGGAAGTGGCATCCACACAGAGAACCCTGGTTGTTCACATGTTTGAATCCCACCACTGATTTTGGTTGTGTTATTATTTTCTCTATTATCTGCCTATCCCAGGTTCTTGAGAAGGATTCGATTAGGCAGACAAAAATGCCAAATCCAGTCTGAGCATCTGGCTGAAAGCGTGACGAACCATAATGATATTTTTAATGTTTACAAGTTTTATTTGAATGATATTTACTGTGGCTGTTTTATTTGGCTGCATATTTTACGGGATCGCACTAAAATTGTTTACATTTGTTATATGATAAAGGATCATGACGAAGGGGAAAGTTTTTTTCTTTTCCTTTTCTTTACTATATTCTTATTTTTTCATTTTTTAATATCTTTTCTGCCCTTCTTTTTTTTAGTTTGTATTAATTTTTATTGTTGTAATTACAGTACAATTTTTAATAAAATTGCTATATAGAAAAGGAGGAACTTGGATTGGGGAATCATTTTTCTCATGTCATATTCCTTTACCAGAAAGGAAAAGAATTGGTCAAGTAGCAGTCTTGAACTCAGATACTTTTGAATTTGATTGTGACAATTACTATTATTATAAATAATTGTCAGGCAATTATTTATATTGCCAAGCTTAATTTCCTACCTAGCACATTCTGTCCTATCACAAATCAAATCCATCTGTGTTCATATCTGCCCATATATATATATATGTTTTCGTAGATTTTCACGGGTACAGGTATGCAGGTCTTGGCGTATTCGGGTCTTTTCCCGTGTAAGATTGAGAGTATCTTGGCGACGTTTCGACGAGGTTCCACTCGTCATCTTCAGGCTGGGGTCTTCGGCTTCTTGCTTGTGCAAGCAAAGTGTGATCGGAGCTGCCGTCTCTCTATAAATATTGGTGGGGGTGTGTGGAGTGCTGGTTTAGTTGCTGTAGGTGGGTTGGTTGGCTGTGTAGGAGTTATTGTTTGCAGATTGTTTGGCTGTTTCGTAACATCCTGAGTAGTTGAGGTACTGGCTGTGTGCCCATTAGTCTTTTGTGTTATAACGACCTGGGTAATGGGTTGTGTGATTACATCCTGAAATCTAGTGTAGTGATATCCTGAGTTTTGTGTTGCAACATCGTGGGTGGTTGGCTGTGTTGTAACATCCTGAGCTTTAGCGTTGTAACCTCCTGAGTTCTGTGATGTGATGTCCAGAGCAGAGGGCTGTGATGTAGCATACCGGGCTTTGGTTTGGCTCCGTGTTTGCGGTCTAGCTCTGTGTTCATGGCGTGTGTCTGTTTGCTTTGTGTGGGGGTCGGAGGGAGGTGCAGCAGCTGGTGATGTCGTCATGGTTTGGCTTCTGGATGGTGGTTGCATTTCGTCTGAGGGATGGGTTTGGGCTTGGGTTTGGGTCTGGTGAGGGTGAATGGTGGTGGCGTACTGTGTTGTTCTGGGTCCGGTGTCAGTTTTCGTGGCTAGGACTCGTTTGTTTGTTTGTTTGTTTGTTTGTTTGTTTGTTTGTTTATTTATTTATTTATTTATTAAATTTATACCCCGCCCTTCTCCCAGCGGACTCAGGGCGGCTTACAGCCATCTAAAACAGGTACATAATACAAAATACTAAATTTAAAATGTAATTAAAATAGAATATTAAATTGATTGGCCTTTTCTTTTTAAAATTATTTTAAGACCAAATTTAAAATAACCCTTAGGCCAGACCTGCTAGCTTAAATAGCCATGTCTTGAGGGCGCGGCGGAAGGAGGGGAGATCCGGAATCACCCGGATCTCTGGGGGTAGTTCGTTCCATAGGGTGGGGGCTCCAACCGAGAAGGCCCTCCCCCTGGGGGTCGCCAGCCGGCACTGTCTGGCTGACGGCACCCTGAGGAG